GTGTGTGTGTGTGTGTGTGTGTGTGTGTGTGTGTGTGTGTGTGTGTGTGTGTGTGTGTGTGTAGTGGGTGTGTAGAACACGACTACCCCATATACAATGGGGAACCAGACCATGCATCTGTCCAATCGTAAAAAAACGCCAAGTTAGCAGCAGGCATAACACAACATGGGTTGAGAAAAGAAAAAAATGATTATGTCATCAACTCCATATTAGAGTCATAACATGAGGATGCATGTTAGTTTTGAAGGATTAATCCAGAGGGGAGCAGATTATAAGTTAGGCTGATGTTAGAGATGGCTGTTGAAGACAGCCATAGGGGCGGTGCACTCCCTGAAGCGCGTTTTTCGTTGCTTAGCACCCATAGCAGCTCATCAAAGGGACAGCCTCTGGCTCCTGTTAGGGGGTTAAGTATGTGTGTTAGTAGTGGTGGACGGGTTCGGGGGGGGAGGGAGTTAATAGGTATTTTGTTTGTGAGGCAAACACAATATGGTAAGAGTATTTAGAACCATACCTTATTGCGTAGCGCTTGTGCAGAGGAAGATGTATCTTCGATGGTAGCCATCGGGTCCTTTAGAGATCAGCTGCCACGTGTCACCGTATGTAGCACCGAGAACGCGTCTTTAATTGCGCAGTTAAGATTACACTGTCTAGTCAGGAGTGTGTATGGTACAACAATTGTGTGGGATCGCGTTGGTGAGAAAGCGTTATGTGCTTAGAAGCATGCGAGCAGGGATTCAGTGAGAGCAAAGCATACCAGTGCAACCCGGAGCATGAGCATGGACAATAGAGAACGCTTGTTACAATAGCACTGTAAGTGCAAGTGGTTATATACGGATGGGTCTCACGCGACGAAGCTGCATATAGGAGATGCGGGGTAACCTTGTGATAATCATGTAGGAGGGTGGTTTATGTATTTCGTAAAATAGAAGGGGTTTACATAGGGTAGATATGGGTGGAGGGGGATGCATTCATTATGGCCATTATTATGGTAGCGTGTGTTGTTTTCTTTTTTTAATTCTGTATGTACAGTTGTTTTAGTAGAAAGTTTTTTTTTAAATTATTTTTACGTAATCTTGTCTATCTCGTGTATTTTGGCCACATTTTTTTAGGGGGGGGAGGGTGTAGGAAGTAGAAGGTGGTACGAAAGTTTTTTTTATGTTGTGTTATTTCGTTAAGTTTGTCTTATGTTATGGTGGTTTGCAGGCTATGGCGTGCGTTCTGAGATCGTAGGATAGGGACATTTTGTGGGCATATGTTTTTGGTGGTATTTGCGGTTGTCGTATTGGATAAATGTTGGCTATAATTTTATTTGGAAGCGTTGTTTCAGAATTTAGTTTGTCTCTTGTTGCAATGCTTTGGAGACTAAGGTGTGTGCGCTTAGCTCGTAGGATGGGGACATGAGTTGTCACGTGTTTTTGACGGTATTTGTTGTGTGTCGTTTTTGCAAAGCGCGACGAGAATTTAGTTTGAATGCAAAATTTCTATTTGTGGTTTGGGTAGCTGACTGTGACAGGCTTCCGATATGCTGTTTTGTAATATCAGTTTTATTTTTGTATCCCATAACTTGTTATACGAGGAGTTTTGTTTTTCTATATATTATGTTTTGCTTTATTATGCAAATATACTTCAATGGCGTTGCTTTAAGGAATTGTTTGTGTAGCTTTGTCGAAAATCCTTTCCGGTCATTTTTAATTTTAGTACAGTCAGTGCTGCCGGACCGAATGTGCGGCCACGGTCCAGCCCGACCTCGAACATTCGGGCGTTCGGACCGGCGTTCGGGGCCCGTCCGACGTCCTGTTCGGCCTCCGCCAAGGCCCGTAAGTGCACCTGTTTTTTTTTTTTTTTTTTTTCACGAATTTTCGACTGTGGATGGGGGAGGGGAAGCAACACGTGTTGGTCAAAGAAAAAAGACAGAGAAAAAAAAATTAAAAAAAATGCTCATCCAATAAAAGTGGGCCACGTGGGGGCCACGTGGCGTGCGGACCGAACGGGACCACGTTCGGCCGAACGC